AAAAAAAAAAAAAAAAAAAAAAAAAAAAAAAAAACCATGTCCATGCTACCGTGTATAAGGTTCCTTTGTGGGGTGATAAAAATGTTTATGATGAATAAACTAAAAATTACTGAATTGTACACACAGGGTGAGTTTTATGGCATGTGAATTGTACCTTGATTTTAAAAAAGGACACCCAATGTCATCAAACATGCAGTATAAGGCTTTTTCCCCCCTTTATTCACAATACAGGTTTGAAATAGAGAAGGTAGAGAATAAAAAATGAGAGAAATATTTTGAGTATCTTTTTATTTATGAAGTTTATTTTCGGCATATAGGTATTAAATAAAATAGGTATTACAATAAGCTAACGTTATGTACTGGAATGTGTTACTGCTATCATTAATGTGATTAACTGCTTTTAAAATTCCCAACAAAAATAATTTACAATCATAAAAATAAACAATAGTACCTGTTTGTTTTTGAAATTCCTTGCTGTCCATAGCCACTTGAAGGCACTTTCTGGTACAGTAGTTGTCTATTGGTTAAGTGAGTCTGAGGCTTTAGTCTGGGCATGATTGATTCAATATGATTATAGTTGAGGCATAAGACCTACAGAAAGAATATCTTATTAATCAGAAATCCTAGAAACTATTAAAAATTGTATGGATAAAACTTGGAATATACCACATAATTTAATAATATATTAGTGCTAAAACAACAAATGTTTATATCCTAAGTAATCTAGATTTAGTTTTGAATGTGTTTTTAATCTGACATCCTAGGAAATTACAATATTTCATATAAAATAATGGAGATCCTAGAAAGCATCTCAGCTTTCTCAATTTGTACTCCTGATTTCTCCAAACCTGACAAGGATGAAATAATTTTTAGTCGAAGAGACAGCTATTTACCTATGTTTAAAAGGCCTTAGCAGATGGCTGAGTCAAGGAAAGCAGAAGCTGGATTCCTTCCTGACACCTTACACTAAAATTAACTCCAGATGGATTAAAGACTTAAACATAAGACCTAACACCATAAAAACCCTAGAAGAAAATCTAGGCAAAACAATTCAGGACATAGGCATAGGCAAGGACTTCATGACCAAAACACCAAAAGCATTGGCAACAAAAGCCAAAATAGACAAACGGGACCTACTCAAACTCCACAGCTTCTGCACGGCAAAAGAAACAGTCATTAGAGTGAATCGGCAACCAACAGAATGGGAAAAAATTTTTGCAGTCTACCCATCTGACAAAGGGCTGATATCCAGAATTTACAAACAACAAAAACAGATTTAGAAGAAAAAAACAAGCCCATTCAAAAGCGGGCAAAGGATATGAACAGACACTTTACAAAAGAAGACATACATGAGGCCAACAAACATGAAAAAATGCTCATCATCACTGATCATTAGAGAAATGCAAATCAAAACTACATTGAGATACCATCTCACACCAGTTAGAATGGCAATCATTAAAAAATCTAGAGACAACAGATGCTGGAGAGGATGTGGAG